CACACACACACACACACAATCAGCCTCCGAAGTCGTTGGGACCGGGCTGTAGTCCCCTTAAGGAGCATCCAATCCCCACGAGGCTGCATTTTCCTGAAAAATTGTCCCCGCCAAGTAGCAAAAACATGGGCACACACACACACACACACACACAACAGCAGACACACAGAGAAAATAGGACATCTAGCTTGAATGAGAAGGCAACCGTTTATAAATCAGGAATATTCCGATTAATCTGTGACTTGTCCAATTCTGTTAGAATAAATCTAAAGTGTATCAGCTGCAAAGACTGTCATAAAGAAGTAAAGTCAAAAGATTTAAAAGAAACTCACAACTGCCRGTGAAATAAAGCTAGTAAACAAAAAAGATTTTACTTGTAAACAACTGCAACTATTCGTATTTCCTTTTATTAGTTTCTGTTGCTTTGCTTGATCATCATAATTATTTTTATCTTACATTGTAATGTCCTGCATCAAGTTTTAAAATAGCATTTTTTGTTCAGATGCCAAACATAAAACACATTATTAGGATTTTTGATTCCTTTCAATCAAAAAGTGAACTTTCTCACTAATGCAGTTATTCTGATTGGAATTATGTAGTTCAAACTGAAACCATTTCCTGGTCCTTACCTGTGGAACAGATCTGACATCAGCAAAGAGCATTGATCTTTTTTAAAAACCAAACTCAAAACCTGATCAGTTTGACTTTTAGTTAATCTTATTTTCCCCAAATTTCTTGGGAGCAAATTCTATTTCATCGTTGAGCTTTACTGCAYTTCTTGTTTACGCCTTAACTGAATTACTTATAAATGTCATTTATTTGTACTTTTTTACTCACCTTTCATTGCTTTTATGTTCATTTTTAGGGGTAAAAATAGTCACCTTTTTATTATACTTACATTATTTACTATTGACTTTTTTTCCTTTTTTAAGTGTGTYGTTTTGTTTTTAAAATTTGCATTCATGTTTTTAGCATAAATGAGTTTCATTAATGAAAATGCATTTCCTCAGTTTCTAAAGTCAATCATACTAACTTAACAATTGTTTAAAATTTAGTGCTGTTTTAATCTTTAAGCTCTTTGTGTTATATGAGAAGTGCTTTAAAATAATTTTTGAACATTAGCTTTAAGAAGTTTTCAGACATCATATGCAACAGCAGAAATAAAATCCATGAATTTGAGGTTTAGTTTTAAAAACAAAGCTCTCTACACAAACCTTAAAATGCTTCTTATATCTCAAAATTAAACATTAAACACATAAGCTATAAATTTTTCCGAGGATGAACACCACCTAAACTAMTCCGGTGCTAGTCTAACTTTATTGGCCTGACATGCTAATAAAACATAAAGCCTCTGGTTCTCAAAGTGTTTATTGGTATCATCGTCACAAGAACAATCTTACACTGCTTAAAACAAAGTATCAGACGATAAAACATTGGTTTCCTGGATGGAACAACTCGATAAAAACAAACAATAATTCACCAGAACATGTAGTGTAACAGACAGAACACGGTACCTTGGCTGCTGTGTTCAGGCGGGCGGCAGGAATCAAATGAATTTATGATGCGAACTGAATCACAGATGACTGGAGGCTGTGCTGCCTAGCAACCAGGCAACCAATCAAATGACTGGAAACACGTATAAGCTGCATGCGCCTATTAAATCATGAAAACTTCACCCCGGGCCTTGTTCCATTTAATATAGTGAGGTATTTCGCTGAACTGTACATATTATTACATGAACGGTCTTAACAAGAGAAACATAGTGAGAGATTTGGGTCATTTACTCGTTTCATATTGTGCGTCGGCAGCTCTGAATAACACAACTTCCACAGATTCCTCTAGAGAACCGAATGTCAATCTTGCGATACAAATCGTTGACGGGTCCTCTGGTTGTTAGCGACTTGCAGGTGTACAGCGCCCTCCAGTGGATTCACCGAGGACCAGGTCGGTGATGAGGGTTCCAGTGGAGGGACGTGTGCAGCGTCTTCTTGGATTAAAAACCAAACCCCGTTAAACGAACCACGTCCATCAGCCTCRTCRAGTGCTTCCCAGACCGCTCTCAGCGTATGTGGGACATGTCTTCCAGGTGAGGCGTCTTCATGCAGCCCGTGCACAGCTGGTCCATCCACAGCGGGGCTTCGTGCTGGAGCGGGGTGCGGCGGGGGTAGAAGGTGTAGGACGGGTCGTAGTTCAGCAGGCAGCTCAGAGAYGCCATGTAGATGTCGGAGAACCTGCCCAGGCGCCGGGAGAAGTAGGTGGGGTTGTGGCACGTTCTGAAGATGCTGCCGAACTGRGGGTTGAACAGGTTCTTCGTCATCACCCTAGAACAGACACGAGTCGTGGAGAAAGTTGAGCGTTAAGTGGATTTGTGAGTTAGAGCGCAGAGCTGTTAAAATGCATTCATGTTACAGGAACAGATTTACACCTACATCCAATACAGCAGACGTATTAAAATATAAAGAAAGATACTGCAGCAGAGAGACTGAGCAGAAATCCCAGACTRTGTCTCTGAGTTCATTGGGTTTACTGGGAGGAGTTTATAACTCACCGCAGCTCCTCTCTCTCCTTCTGCCATTCCTGAAACACTTTTTTAGACTCCGGGTCTTGATGAATCTAGAATGACAAAAAAAAATGAATGAATAAAAATTCAGGTTGGTACAGGAAAAAAAAACTGTTTTAGACACACAGACATGATGTGGATTAGTTTGTTTAAAGGGTGGGTATTATGCAAAATCTGCTTTTTTGAGCTTTATATCATGTTATAATGTCATTCCCTCATTATAAGCATAGTGTTGCTTTAACTCATTCATGCATGTTTGAGAAAACTTTTGAGTCTCCTATGGTAGCCATGTGGAGCCACCTAAATACTTGCAGGTACAAAGCTCCGCCTATTTGCACAAAGCTCCTCCCTGGAGCTCAGTCTGCAGCCGAGCTCTCACCCCACAGAGCACAGAGTTTAGATAGGCTATGATGCAAAGTCACATTTATTTTTGATATTTACAGCTTTTTAATAACTGAAGGGAACAGTTACTTGATATAATATCGTATATAATAATAGTTTTTTTTAATAATTGATAATAATAATTTAATTAATTGATTTAATGACAAACATAAAATACTATCTTATCACCTGCTGCTGCAAGGCAAAGGCAGGCGATAATGCTTTTGCCTGCATGCTCATGTATCTGTTAGCAAAATATCTCATGAACCTCTGAACGACCTTTAATGAAACCACAGAGGCTAAAGATGGCGAGCCTGTGATCACAGGTTCAAATCCCCTGGTGAAAAAGGTAAAGCACCCACATCTGCCCCCACCCTTATTTACCCGACTGTGGGTGCTTCTGTAAGGCCCTCAAAGCCTCCAGTTGCTCCCTGGACTCCCCCAGTAAGGCAGCTCTTTGCTCCACTTGTGTGCTCACATGTGCGATGCGAAATTTCACCATTGGGGATTGCCAAAGTAAAAATTATCACTATTATTACAACTGATTATGTTTTGGAGTCAACTCAATTCAAGATGGCTGCCATACAACACAGAAACAGCTGCAACTCAGTCAGTTTCACAGCTAATAAACTGTGGGTTGCACATGAATCAGTCACAAGCTAACAGTGAGTAGTAAACAGAGTGTGTGTGT